CCAAGGCTGGCCAACATTCTGCACCAACAGCAGCCTCTACCATCAGAAGGCAGGGTGTTGCCTACTGGCTCTGTTTGCATCTGGGGTTCCAGGCTTAGCCACACTCATGCGGGGATAGGAGTTGAGGACCTAAGTGGAACTCTGGAGGGATTTGGACTAAGACAGGTCAGCCCTGTGCTGTGCCGGCAGTGATGCACCAGGAAGCAAGTGTTGGCTGAGCTGGTGGGGCAGGTTATAGAGTCAAAAAACTGACCCTGTCACTTAGAAGCTGTACAGTCTCTGACAAGTCAGTCAACATCTCTGAACCTCAATTGCTTCCCCTGAAAAAGAAGAATAAATAATTCCTTCTCTGTCTACATAAAATGTGCATGTACTCAACACATTTTACCATTGTTATGCCCTCACAAAAATCAGTTGCTGTCTAGACGACTCAGGGTGACTCTACGTGTGTTAGAGTAAAACTGTGCTCCCTTGGGGTTTGAATGGCTGAGTTTTCAGTAACAGATAGCCAGATCTTTCTGTCAAGGCATCTCTGTGTGGATGCAAACCTCAAATCTTTCAGCTAACTCAGTACTGTACTTGGTGCTGTGAGGGCTGCAGAAAAAACAAAAACTAAGCAAACATATAAGGCACAGGGAGCTTGAAATCTAGTTGGGGAAGATAGTGTGAACTCTTGATCACCCTGGAAGATTATGGATAAAAAAATACAATTAGCTTTCTCTGCATCTCTGAGACAGAAATTGCTTATCGGCCTGCATGAGTGGGCCATGTGCAAGACAACCTTAAATGGTGATGACAGGTGAGTGGGCAGCTCCAAATTGCATCTTGGAAGGGGGAGGACTTGCCTGGGCCTTTGCCAAACCTCAGGATCAGAGGTACAATTTGAACCTGAGTCATCAATTGGTGCCCCTCTCTGGAGGCTGAGTCCCCAACCCTGGACTGCTGGCCAAGGAGGCGTGAGCTTGGCCTCCCCAACCCAGCCCAGTCTGAGGAGTTGCTGGGGGTGGGCAGGAAGGTAAGTCTCTGGAGGTTTTCATTGCATTTTAAATGATTCCTTGATCTCCTCACTGTTGCTGAGTGCCTGACTCAGCACTTAGAACAAAGGTGTTGAATGAGGACAGAAGCATGGGGCTCAACATGGGTCTAAAGACCAGGGAGCTCTTTGGGGCCCTAGGTGATGACTTATTGCCCGTCTTTGGCCCTCACTCTTCTTTCCTACACTTCATGAACCTGCCCCTCTCTGCTTATGAACTGCTTTGGGTGGCACAGTGGGCTAAATGTGGGGCTGCTAACTACACAGTTGACAGTTGGAATCTACCAGCTGCTCCCTCGGGAAAAAGACCTGCTCTCATAAAGGTCTGTGTTCTTGGAAACCCTGTGAATAATACCTACTCTGTCCTATAGGGTCTCTATGAATCGGACTCAGCTCAACAGCAGTGGGTGGGTGGACTCTCCTAATCATTTTGTGGTTTGGGTCCTGCCTCCAACTAGAGGAGCCATGGTGGCCCAATGGATAAGCACTAGGCTGTTAACTAGAAGGTTGATGGTTCAAACATACCTGGAGGCTCCTGGTGACCTACTCCCATAAAGATACGTGGTGGTGGTGGTGTGCCACCGAGTCGGTTCTGACTCATAGCAACCATGCATAGGGTTTCCAAGGTTATAAATCTTTACTGGAGCAGAAAGTCTCATCTTTCTCCCAAGGAAAAGCTAACCTTGCAGTTAGCAGCCAGCTTGTAATTCACTATGCTACCAGGGCTCCTTCCCATCAAGATTACAGCCTAGAAAACCCTACGGGGCACTTCTCTTCTATCAAATGTGATCACTACGAGTCAAATATCGACTTGATAGCACCTAACAACAATCCCAACTAAAGTGACACTCTTAATTAAAAAATGCTCGAAATTCCCCACCTTGACCCAACACAGGGCCTATGGAGAGGCAAACTTAGTAGAGGCTTGTTGAATCCTAGAATTCAATTTTCCCATAAGAAGTCCTAGAACTAGAGAATTTCCCAACCCTAAGAGATGGCCAAAGATGAAGGGAACCAACATTTATTGTGCTCTTTTCTGTGTGCAACATACTTAATCCTGTTTTATACAGACAGAAACTGATATTCAGAGACGTTAAGCAATTTTCCCAACTTTTTTCTGGTAGTTAAGTGGTAGAGCCAAGATTAAGGTGGTGATCTATCTGCTGGTGGGTTCTACTCTCTTTCCTAAGGTGTAAGCAGGAGTCAGAACAACTGGCCTTACATCCAGTTCCATGACAGGGTCCTCTCAGGGACTCTGCTTGTCCCCTATCTCCTCTCCACCCAGAACAAGAACTCAATAGGACCAAGTCTTCCCTCGTTCCTTTTCACCTTCCTGACAGCGCATCTCTGCTGGGCCCCTTTGCACGTGTGTGCATATGTGTGTTTGTTTGCCCTGAGTTCTATGTGCCAGTGCACACACCGTCCTACGCAAAACCTCTGTTCGTTTTAAATCACGGTTATTTTTCCCACCTTCAGAAATAGCTGCAGAGGAAGGTGGGAAATAGTCAAATGTAAACAGGCATGCAGCTCTCCTGCTCAGGAGGAGAGCTTCATGCCTCCAACTGCCCCCACCCCCAAAGCATCCTCAGAGGGATGTGTAGTGGGGAAAGAGCCTCTCTGGCCAAGGCAAGGCCCAGTTGAGAGGCCACCTGCCTGTATGGTGGTGGCAGCAGAAGATGTATCTCTGAGCTTCCCATAGTCCCCTAGTAAGGAATCATCATCCATCCCCAGGCTGCAGCAGCTATATGCCCCAAGCCCTCAGGGGACCAGCGCAGGCTCAGGCCAGACCTGGGGGCAGAGAAGTGTGGTGGGGAACAGCACAAGTTTTGGATTTAGGTTGATTCCTGTCTCCTGCCTCTTACCAGCAATGTGAACTAAGTCATGTTATTTTCCCTCTTCTGATCCTCAATTTCTTCATCTAATAAATGGAAGTTGTCATTAGCCATTGAGTAAACCCCAGCTCAAGGCGGCCTTACGCATAATGCAACGAAATGCTGCCTAGCTCTGCGACCTCACCATGATCTGTTCTGTATTGAACCCTTGTCATCTATAGGGTTTTCTGTAGATCTCCAGGCCTTACTTCCTAGTCTCTCTTAGTCTAAAACTTCTGCTGAAACCCATTCAACATCAGAACAACCAACAAGCCTCCACTGACAGATGGGTGGTAGCTGTGCCTGAAGTACATGGACCGGGAATTGAACCAGGGTCTTTGCAGGGAAGGTGACAATTCTACCACTGAGCCATTGATGAGCCATTAACATTCTCAAGACTGGGCATATTCACGCTGACCCCATGGCCTGCTCTGAGTTAAATGAGATAAGACCTTCAGGTTTTATGGTGGGTGCTCAGTGAGAGAAAGTGTGCTTCCCTGGTGCCGACTCCTGGAGAACCAGCCAGACGCAGTGAGAACAGGCTGGACTGGGGGCACAGAGTAAGGCCGCCTTTGTTCCTATCGTTAGTTCTAGGCCAGAGCTGAACTGGCCTCTAGGACAATGCAGCTGTTCCTTAGGATCTACGTGAGAACTTAAAGTTGGTTCCTATGCCTTGGAGGGTGGAAACAGCGGTGGCTTAGATTCCAGATTTCTCGGGGAAGGGGTCCTGGGTCAACAGAGAGTATTTATATGATAAATACTCACTGGCACTTGCTTGGCCAGGCATTGCACTCTGTGCAATGGACACAACTCTGATTAAGACAGGCCCCTACCTGGGGAGACCTTCTCCATGTGATGTGGTCAGGGCTGTGACGGAAAGAAGCAGAGGTCTGGTTGGAACATGTCAGCCCCCTTATCAGCCAGCTGTCAGGGGGAGACTGATGGTCAGTGAAGTTGAGCAACTGTTTTCCACCTTTGTCCGGTAGACAAAGTGGTAGAGCCAAGATTTTGGTGCTGGTCTGTTGAGCCAGTAAAACACAGGAATCTATTTGAAGAAACTGGGTAATGAGCTAGAGAGGAAGGGAGGGAGGGAAGAAAGTGGCCAAAAAGGCTGGGGAATCCATGCCCTCTCTCTCTCAACTCAGAAGAGTGACTCTGAAGGTGACCATAACCCTATCCTATCCTCTCTCCTTCCCTCTCAAACATATACACACAATTAAGTTTAGTTTCGAAGAACAACTAACAATTGTCTAGGAGATAAAAAAAAAAAAAAAAAAAGAGGAGACAGGAAAAGGGATAGTGTGTCAGGGTAACTTCAACCCAACAGAGTTGTGCACAGTGGGCAGGTGATGTGGCAGTAAGAAAAGTCAGCAGTAACTGAGGCCAAACCTCTGAGGTTTTACCTGAAGGGCTGAGGCGCTCAGCTGCAGGTCTCTCTCAACCCTCACCCTCTACCCCAGACAGTTGAGAAAGGGAAAGCCCTGGCATCCATGGTGGGGAAGTAGGCAAAAATCAAAGCTGTACCTTGCCCCAGGGAGCTCAGGCAGGGCCACCATATTCCCCCAACCTGTCTGGCCCTGGGACCAGAATCTGCTGCCCTCCTACCTCCAAAGTCCTGGGAAACATACCCCAGAATCCAGAAGGTTCACTTATTTCCATCTCCTTAACCCCCATTTCCACACACCCCCAGTCAGAAGGAGCTGTCTGGGAATTAATACTTTATTTTCCAATTACCTGGTGAACCAGGCAGATCTACTAGAAGACAACTTGGTAGTGATTTGGGGAAGGAAAGAGAACTACGGTGAGGAAGGTTGGAGAATTCATCCCACATCCCTCTAAACTAAAAAGAAAGGCTCTGTAACCCTCCCATCCTCTCTCCTTCACACACACACACCCTTCCTCCTTCCCTGAACACTTGCAATCACCAACAGGTTATACAAAGGAGACACTAAGGCCTCCAGAATCATAGGCCCTGCACTTCCTTCTCCCAGTTCCTTTGGCCTCTTGAGTCAAGCAGGGGAGGAGACCTGGGAGAAGGGAGCAGATCTACTTCTCTGCCCTTTTCTAAACTCTGCGTCCTCTACTTCTAGGCTGCCCCTGGATGGGCATGGCGATGAGTGAACAGGCCCACCCAGTGGACAAGGATGAGGAGCCACACTTGAGAGGGCAAGAGGAGATGCCCACCCACCCCTGCGTAGAATGACCACCCTGGGAGGCCCTGGCAGGGCTGCTGACCTTCAGCCTGCAAAACGCTAAAAGCAGGACTCCAGACTTCCGTGGATGGTCCCCTGCCCTGCAGTTCCACCATGAAGCTCCTCGTGGCACACCTCTTGCTAGCTTGGGTGGCTGGCACTACTGCTGCTGTGCCTGTGGTCCCCTGGCGTGTGCCATGCCCCCCTCAGTGTGCCTGCCAGATCCGGCCCTGGTACACACCCCGCTCATCCTACCGAGAGGCCACCACCGTGGACTGCAATGACCTATTCCTGACAACCGTGCCCCCGGCGCTGCCTGCGGGCACACAGACTCTTCTGCTACAGAGTAACAGCATCGTCCGTGTGGACCAGAGTGAGCTTAGCTACCTGGCCAACCTGACTGAGCTGGACCTGTCCCAGAACAGCTTTTCAGATGCCCGGGACTGTGATTTCTTGGCCCTGCCCCAGCTGCTGAGCCTACATCTGGAAGAGAACCAGCTAACCCGGCTGGAGGACCACAGCTTCGCAGGACTGAGCAGCCTGCAGGAACTCTATCTCAACCACAACCAGCTCTACCGCATCTCTCCCAGGGCCTTTGCCGGCCTGAGCAATCTCCTGCGGCTACACCTCAACTCCAACCTGCTGAGGGCCATCGACAGCCGCTGGTTTGAGATGCTGCCCAACCTGGAGATCCTCATGCTCGGTGGCAACAAGGTGGACGCCATCTTGGACATGAACTTCCGACCCCTGGCCAGCCTGCGCAGCCTGGTGCTAGCGGGCATGAACCTGCGGGAGATCTCCAACTATGCCCTGGAGGGACTGCAGAACCTAGAGAGTCTCTCCTTCTACGATAACCAACTGGCCCGGGTGCCCAGGCGGGCACTGGAGCACGTGCCCGGGCTCAAGTTCCTGGATCTGAATAAGAATCCACTGCAACGTGTAGGGCCAGGAGACTTTGCCAATATGCTGCACCTCAAGGAACTGGGGCTGAATAACATGGAGGAGCTGGTCTCCATTGACAAGTTTGCCCTAGTGAATCTCCCTGAGCTGACCAAGCTGGACATTACCAACAACCCTCGGCTGTCCTTTATCCACCCCCGCGCCTTCCGCCACCTGCCCCAGATGGAGACTCTCATGCTCAACAACAACGCTCTCAGTGCCTTGCACCAGCAGACAGTAGAGTCCTTACCCAACCTGCAAGAGGTGGGTCTCCACGGCAACCCCATCCGCTGCGACTGTGTCATCCGTTGGGCCAATGCCACGGGTACCCGAGTCCGCTTCATCGAGCCTCAGTCCACACTGTGTGCCGAGCCTCCTGACCTCCAACGCCGACCAGTCCGTGAGGTGCCCTTCCGGGAGATGACAAACCACTGCCTGCCTCTCATCTCCCCACGCAGCTTCCCCGCCAGCCTCCAGGTGGCCAGCGGAGAGAGCCTGGCACTACACTGCCGGGCACTGGCTGAACCGGAGCCCGAGATCTACTGGGTCACTCCAGCTGGGGTTCGACTGACAGCTGCCCGTATGGGCAGGAGGTACCGGGTATATCCCGAGGGGACCCTGGAACTTCGAAGGGTGACGACGGAAGAGGCAGGGCTGTACACCTGTGTGGCCCAGAACCTGGTGGGGGCCGACACTAAGACAGTCAGTGTGGTTGTTGGACGTGCACCCCTCCAGCCCAGCAGCGGTGAGGGATGGGGGCTGGAGCTGCAGGTGCAGGAGACCCACCCCTATCACATCCTGCTTGCCTGGGTACCCCCACCCAACACAGTCTCCACCAACCTCACTTGGTCCAGCGCTTCCTCCCTCCGAGGCCGGGGGACCACTGCTCTGGCCCGCTTGCCCCGGGGCACCCATAGCTATAACATCACCCGCCTCCTTCAGGCCACAGAGTACTGGGCCTGCCTGCAAGTGGCCTTTGCTGACGCCCACACCCAGTTGGCCTGTGTATGGGCCAGGACTAAGGAGGCCACTCCTTGTCACAGAGCCTTAGGGGACCGATCTGGGCTCGTAGCCATCCTGGCTCTTGCCATCCTCCTGCTGGCAGCTGGGCTGGTGGCTCACCTTGGTAAGGGCCAACCCAGGCAGGGGGTGGGTGGGCGGCCCCTCCTTCCAGCCTGGGCTTTCTGGGCCTGGAGTGGCCCTTCTGTCCGGGTGGTGTCCGCGCCCCTTGTCCTGCCCTGGAATCCAAGCAGGGAGCTGTCAGGATCCTCAAAAGGGGAGATACTGTTACCACCATTGTCTCAAAACTCCTGAAGTTCAGCCTACTGGGGCAGCAGAGAAAGGATGAAAACTACTTTTTACCAAAAGGAAAGCAAGCTGAGCCAGACGCCCATCAGGAGAGTGACTTGGACCTACAAGCTTGGGGCCTGGCAGCTGAACCAGGATAACTGGGGAGGCTCCTACAGCCTTCAAAATGTTGCCCTTGCATTCTGGGTCTCCTTGTCTGCCATCTGGGGAGCATCCCAGGAACAGGAAGGACTCCAGTGGAGCCCCCTGCCTCCCGTTTATGAGCCCAGAGGCTCCCAGCCTGGCTTGGATATCTCCCACCTGTGTCCCAGGCCCTTGGCCCATAGGGTCTGTCCCCCTCTTCTCTGTACAGTCTCCATTGCTTGCTCTTCCCCAGTCTGGGCAAGGGCTGGAGGAGGAGGCCTCTTCCTCTCACTTGGGGACCTCTCTCAAAGTGGAACTCAGCCCCAGCCGGATCTGAAGGACATCTGGGGAGAAGGGTGCCCAGAAATGCAGTCTCAGCACCCATTGCTTGACACGCTGAGGATGACTTTCTATCGGCAATTTTGTACCTTTGTGGAGAAATGTGTCACCTCCCCCAAACCCAATTCTCTCTTTTCTCCTGTTTTGTAAAAAATAAATCATAATAATGACAATAATAAGGGGGAAAGAAATGAAAGGAGACTAATCCTCTGAATATTGAGTCTAGCTAGAGAGCTCTCTGTTCTGGAATCCCTTCAAAACCCAGAGGGTGGTGGTGGGAGGGGCTGGCATGGGATAAGAGGGAGGGGAGGAGGAAGGGAATCTGGTTTTTCAATCCTTTGAGTTTTGAATTCGGGCCTGCCAGGTGCCTCTGGGTTTGTTCTGGCCCCCAGAGCAGGAGCACTAGGGATAGAGGACAAGGGATAAAGCAAGAGAGGCTGCCTGCCAGTGGCCAAGAGCGAGGAAGGGAGGGAGGAAGAGTTCAGGAGCAAGAAATGTGGGAGAAAATAGAGAGAAAAAAAAAACAGAAATGGAGAAACAGTGGAAATTTCCATCTCCAAACATTGTCACCCCTTCTTCTTCTCTGATAAGCAATTAAAATTGCAAATGCAACATGCATAGGAAGTCCTTCCCAGCGTATTTCTAATTAAACAAACCCAAGAGGCAGAGTCATGCAGAGGATTGCAAATCATCAAGACAGCAAGAACTCTGACTCTGTTGGGGCAGGAACAGGGGCGTAGGTGATGGAGGGTTTAGGGAGGAGAGGGTCATGGGATAAAGACATTACTGCATTTATCTTTCCCTTCCATTTTGATATCATTTGCAATGAGCCTGGTTTGCTTTTTCCATTTTGTTTTGTTTTGAACGGATTGACTTCCTAGCATCAAATGTGAACAGGAACATCTGTTGAAAGTCATTAAAGCCAGGGGCTGCTGCAGGCCAGCTGAGGTGATGATGGTGCCAGAGCTCCAGGTCAGCAGGCAACAGCTCTTGCTTTCCTTCTGAGATAGGCTGGAGACAGCTGTGGGTTTCCTCACACAGAAAACATCAGCAATCCCCTGAACCTGAGGTCCCCCCCACCAGCTTTTACAGGGTACATATGACATACTTGAAGGAAGCAGGCCCCAAATTACCTCCTCCATAGGGGGCGCAGCCAGGCAGGATGGGATGGGGTCCCATGGAACCTGACAACAGAGCACTTACTCAAAGCAGGAGAGTAATGTTGCTGTCTTTGCACAAAGTGAGCAGGCTGAGCAGGCTTCCCCAAGAATGGTCAGCAAAGAGTCAGGTTAGCAGCCTCTGTGGGAGGCTCCTTCTTCCTGTTGTTCTTTGCCATTGTTGAGTTGATTGCTACTCACACTGGACTGCAAAGTTGGTTTGAACCCCAAGGTCAGAAGTTCAAGCTCACCAGCTGCTCCTCAGAAACCCTATACAGGGTCTCTGTGGGTCGGAACTAACTCGACGGCACTTAACAACGTGATGGTTGGGGAGTTCTGGTGTGGCACTGTGGATTAATGTGCTGAACTACAAAGTCCGTTTGATCTGCAAGGTCAGCATTTTAAACTCACCAGCCACTTCTTGGAAACCCTATACAAGGTCTCTATGAGTCAGAACTGACTCGACAGCACTTAACAACAACAACAATGTGATGGTTGGAGTTGTAGTGTGGCTCTGTACAATAAACACTTGATGGCAATGTCGGTTTGAACTGCAAGGTCAGGGTTCAAACTCACCAGCCACTCCTTGGAAACCCTATACAAGGTTGCTATGGGTTGAAACCGACTCGACAGTACTTAACAAACACAATAACAACATAATGGTTGGAGCTGCAGTTGCCTTGACAGGGCCAGACCAAGTGATTTCATGCGCCTTATATATCTGAGGGCTGGACGTTCCCCACCCCTGCTCTGGGACATTCAGTGGTTGCCACTTTGTTGGCTGGCCCACACAAGATGATACATCAAAGTGCTGGTCCTTTAAATGAGCACCCAGAATCCCTGGAAGGACCTGTGGAGACTAGAAGACCTCTCTCATCACCACCTGTACTGCCAGCCCAGAACTTCACTAAGACTCCTTGGGTACATCAGTAGCAACCAAAATGGTGACATCCATTGGCTCTTGTCTTAGTTCCCTCATGGTTCTATAACAGAAACACCACAAGGGGGTACCTTTAAAGAGCAGAACTGTGTTTTCTCACAGTCCAAATTAGGGTCTCAGTTGTGTCCATCCCTTCCTATGCCAGTAACTCCAAGTGTTTCTTGGTACCTTGGTGATCCTCCTATGCTATTCTGCCTTCCAGTGTGTGTGCCTCTGTGTCTGATCTGCCTATTTTATAATTTATGGGATTAGATGTAGGACACACTATTATGGTCTCATTAAAATGACGAAGAAACCCCCCAAACAGGAATATATCTACTAGTATAGGAGTTAGGATTCCAACACATATTTTGAAGAACAAAATTCAACCCAGAAGAGATCTAGAGGGCCCAGGGGCTTAAATTACTCAAAATACTTTTGGTTTGCCCCCATTGATCTCTTTGCCTACCCACACTTCCCTCAGACGTCCTGGTCACAGACAGACAGGAGATCCAGGGAGAGTGGTAGAAAGCTATGAGCCCCTGGGAAATAGGGAAGATGCCTAAGCTCAAGAAGGGGGCTTGCATCCAGTTTCTAGATGCACTCTTTTCTATCTTCCATGGAATTTCTAGATACTGAGTCCTTGAGAATGAACCCCTTCTTCTGGAGCAGGGAGGGGAAGCCCCCAGGTCCTGAACATCTCAGCTACCCCCCAGAGAAGTTAGGTGAGGTCAGACAGGAGAGGTGACGTTGTTGGGTGCCATGGCATTCGGTCTAACTCAGGGTGACCTCATGTGGCACAGAGCTGTTCCATAGGATTTTCTAGACTGTAATCTTTATGGGAGCAGATCACCAAGTCTTTCTCCCACAGAATCACTGAGTTCAAATAGCAAAACTAGCATCTGAGTGCTTAAGAGTTGGGCCACCAGGATGCCTCAGAAAAAGAGCTAGTGAGTGGCCTCTTTTCACCTGGAAAGAGAGATGCTGCAGCAGCAGGGACAGACACAGCCAGTTAAGGAGAGATGTCTATTTCCCAGAATAGCTAGATCATCTCAGCAAATGAGAGGGAGTGGCCTCTCACTGGTACAGAGCAGGACATCTTGCTCAGGAGTGTTCTGACCAGGAGGGAGTGCCGTGGTACTATCCCCTGCCCTCATCCTGGCTCTGAATGCCTGTTAACACAACCTACAGTAGTGTCTGGAATCTTCGCTTTCACATTAGACCAAGTGTGTGGGCAACTGAACATGCCAGGCTTAAAGTAAACAAAACAGTTATTAAGCAAACTATTAAGATGATTTCAAAGACCAGCCTAATTGCTGAGCACATGAATTTTCTCTGCCAAGGTCATGCCATTGGCAGATTTCATCCTGTCTCTATGTCCCCATCCATGACACACACAGGTTGTAGAGTGGACATGGGCCAGGACACAGCTTTGTACTCACCACCGCAGTCTTCCTGCCAGCTTGACGCTGGCCCAGGAAACAGCGGGGCTAGGCTGGCCACTCAGCCAGCTGTACCATGCTTCTGCATGTCGTCTGGAAGGTTGTCAAGGTTGCCAATCCAGCTGAAGTCTGGATACAGTGAGTTTGTAGCATTCCTGGGAACTATCAGTCTAATCACTGTATTACAAAAAACAAACGAGACTGGTTGGCCTGATGTGTAGGGTGACCAGTTCAGTCTGGGACTTAGCTGTCCTAACATGAAGGTCCCATGTCTTAGGAACCTTCTCCGTCTTGGATGCTGGTCTTGTGAAAAAGAATACCCAATCCACATTCTTTCCTCTCTTTCCCCTCCCTCCCTCCCGATCAACAGATATTTAATGCAGATGGACTGTGGTAGGCATTGATCTAGTAACAGTGGAGAGAGACAAAAATCCCTGAGCCAATGGACCTTGCATCTTAGTACAGAAAAGAAGTTGATAAGCAGGAAAAATAAGTTAAAATGTGCTGTGTGCTTTATGGTAATGAGTTCTTTGCAGAAACAGTTAGTCAGGGAAGAGGACAGGCAGCGATGGCTTAAATAGAGTGGTCAGGAAAAGCCCTCATTGAGCAAAGACTTGGGGGAGTGGTCAAGCAGAGTGATTGTGTGGGGCCTTGTTGGTTTCTATAAGGGTCTGACTTTGGCTCTTCCTTTCAGAACAAAAGGAGACACATTTGACTTTTTTGCAGAGGCTGCTGCTGGTTGGAGAATAGTGCATGAGGGCAAACACAGAGTCCAGTGGGGAAGCTACAGTCACAATGCCCTCAGTTTAATGATCTCATCTAGAACTTTGCCAGAAGTGGACATTAAATGCACCCTTGTGCCTCCCTTATTTTTGAAAATTGAGACCACAGAGACTCTCTGCAGGCTTCTGATCACTATTACTTTCCCTTTCCCCATGATTCTTCCAAGTAGCTTATATGGATCAAATCTCCACCCTCACAGGTGTACATTCTGTCGGTGCCCCGCCTTGTAACTGAGACCGAAAC